ACTATTATCTTTTGGTGATACCACGTCGCTCTATTTAATTGTAATAAAAAAACAGGAGTCATGCTCTCGTGGTATAGAACATATCGTGTACCGTGACCATCCGAACGTAGAGCTATGTCTAGTTCTCACATAAATAATTTCTCCTCAAACGAAGCCTAATATCATTTTGTTCAAATTTATTTATTGTCGAGTCGATGTGTAGGAATTGAACAATATATATCTAGTTCTTATTGTTCAAGATCATTTATTTGTTTTATATTTTTCAAGTTATAATAAGATTTCAATTAAATTTAAATAAAATTTATTATTTATAATAAATGCCATATTATATCATTTTATTAAAATTAATAATAATTCACTCAAATCATCTCTAATATTTTTTTTAACAAATTTAGATTATTAATATATTTGTTGTCAATATTTTTATTATCCAATGATATGCAAATAAATATTGACTATGCTATTAATCTTTTTTTATAAGATTATATTTTTTAGTCGAGTATATATCTTCTCTCACCCACAAAATTAACATGAGAATATTTATAGTTTTTGAGGATTTAAGCTATTTAAATATTTCAGTTGCACTTTTGTAAATATATAAATGGGGCTTCACTTTTTGTGCTCATTACTTCATATCAAATTTGCCAGAACATATCCCTTTCTCATTTCAATTAGAGTTGAGTTTATTCAAATCAAATAGAAATGATGAATGGATTCTAAATAACATTGATATCAGAAGATTGAAAATATAAAGATAAAAAAGCCTCATTAAACTATGATGGTCTAAATTTGTCTTTAACAGCAATTTACTATGACGGGATCCAAAGGTACAAGGATGTGTTCTGTTTGCAGTCTCTCAGGTCCTATTTGATTATCTGATCGAACTTTTATAGGCTCATTGTGACGCCGGACGTTTAGAATACTATCGTGTGGTCAACCAATGTTATAGCGCCACGTAGCAAGCCGAAACCCCGACCCAAACCCTTCGTTATTTGTGTATTGGTCTTCGTGTTTTTCACCATTTCGGGTCGCCCCGATCTTAAACGGGGGAAAAGTTAAAACCCTGCCTTTCTTTTAAATGTATAATAAACTTTTGATGGATTATGGTCTGAAGACGTTATACAGTATTTAGGGTTTACTGCCACGAATAGAAAGTTTTCTCGAAGGGTTCAAGGGATGGAAGAGAAGACAACGGCGATTTCTTTGGAGACTTAGACGATTTCGATGAAACATTTGGCACTTATAAAGTCGATAAAGATTTATCTATTTTTATACAAGTAATTTCTATGCTCCTTATTTTTGTTGTTTATGTCGATAATTGTCTACTTGTACCAATGTTTATAGATAATCGATACTGATCGGTATTATACGTTCATATCTGACCGTAGCTTATAGGTGTACCATATGTTTGTACCCGAGATAAAATATTACTACATAATTCCGAGAATATAATTGGTACTGCTAATGTACTTATTGGTTCCTATGTACCGAGCTTATTAGATAAGATACAATCAGTATAGTACCGAGATAAAAATAATTTCTACATAAACTCGGTATCAATCGGTTACGACTCATGTATTATATGGTTTCTCTTGTACCGAGCTATTAGGTAGTACATATTTGTTCGAGATAATAAATTTTCTAACATAATTCGGTATAAATCTGGTACTACTAGGTATTTATAGGTTCTCTAGTACCAAGCTTATAGATAGAAAGTACCATTTTTATCGAGATAAAAATTTCTACATAAGTCGGTATAAATCGGCACTGCTAGGTATTTATAGGTTCCTTTGTACCGAGCTTACAGATAAGTACAATATCAATACCGAGATAAAAAATTCTACTGTATTCAATCGGTACTTCTCGTATTTATAGTCCTTGTTCTAGTCTTATAGTTGAATTAAGTCTGTTGAAATAAAAATATTTTATATTATATTTTTTAATATTAATTTAAAAATAAACTTTCGTTTTCACGTGATTTGCTTTATTTTTATTTAAATATAGATTTCTTTAAGACAAATCAGAAATGTTTAACATTATACCGCCCCGAAGGACAAATTAATGTTTACTATCGATTTGAAATGAAGAAATTATAATTTTCTTTAAAAAAAAATAGTATGGAAGATACAAATCAACCTGAGGGATGATGAATATCTTCTCCAATCTCTAATTAGGAAAAAAATTGCATATATTATCTTCATAATCAAATATAGAAGATATATGATCTGCCTGAAAGAGCAAATCAGCGATTATGAAATTAAAATTTTAAATATGAATAAGCGATATCTGCATTCCCAGATTTTCACCCTACTATAGAAAGGAACTATGGTAGGGTTTATTTTTAATATGGGATCTAGACTCCATATAGGGGTAAGCCCCTATAGTAATTACATCTCCTATGAATTAATCTCGATTAAAGTGAAGGCTAAAAATTTTAAAGATACATGTAAAATTTAATAGGATGTTTGGTTATGAAAATTTTAATGTATAAGCTTTAGATTTTAACATCTCCAAGTTGAATTTAGAGATTTTTGTTTTGAATTTTATGAGTGATAGAAAAGACGTGTATAAGAAGAACTCACTACACCGGGGGCTATGACTCGGTGGTTCCGCCCGTAGCACTCCCATTTGGAAGAAATGAGGCGATTGGATATTCTCTATAATTGTTCCACGTAGCTCCAATGTTACCTCGCAAGCAAAGGCCAAGAGAGAAAAAAAAAGTGGAATGAGAGTAGGCACCATTCAAGCAGAAATATAATTAAACAATAATCAATTTAAAACAATTAAGATTTATAACCTTTAAAATTTATATGAAGCATATGGAAAAGGATAGCATGTGTAAAGCAATGATATCAACATAAAGCACAATGAGTTACTATACAAAGTAAACATGTGACATAATAAAAGAAAAATATTCCGATAGACTTACATAATATGATATAAAAAAAAATGTCACGGCCTATGCTGCATGATACAATGACATCACATATACATTATAAAAAACGAATTTCTCAAGAGTGCTGATCATAAGAGAATTGTGATGGACAATTAGGTATTTATAAATTTTTGAAACAATAATCGTATCGAAGAATCATATCAATAAAGCAAATCAGTTCTCTAGCCATTATGGACTGAAGTATGACTGAAACATGAAAGTAAGGAGGTTGTAGAGAACTGAACTATATATTATAGATTATTTTTCATTGCAATTAATTAGTTTATAACATGAATATATGAAATGAGATCTTTTACTAATCTCAACTTTATTTAAAACCCAACTGATAAAAAACAAATAAACATATTAAAAAAATTTTACTATACATAGTGTTGATTCGAATAGATAAAATAACTTGCTTATATTAATAGAAAATTTTTATTTACAAATTTAGTTGAGAGAAAGTTTACTATATATATGAATTTATATATTAATTTACTGATTACAGGGTATCATATGAAAGTAAAAAATACGGGCAAAAGTATCACAGTATATAATACCTTTTGATGAAATATAATCATCATCTCATGCATCCGAATAAATGTATAACAATTTGAAAGCTTTGGAGAAAGAACTCGGCTTTTATATTATAATTTCAGCTTAAACCATTCATAATGATATAAAAGAGTCTGAATTTACATCAAAGATCTATAATATGTACATGTGACCTTCAAACACAATGAGAAAATATGATTAAGCAGAGAATATTCGCAATGAAAAGGTCCCTACACGTATATTCTATAATATATATATATTATATACAAAAAATTTATATACTAAACTTTACAAATATAGTGAGGAAAGATTATAAAGGTATGGACAATTTTTTTACAAAATTTCTATACTAATCTTTACAAAATAAAGAGAGGAATCGTCCATTCTAAAGAGAGCACATTTATACCCCCGCTCAAGCGGGGCTGGTGGTGACGGAACGACTAGCGGTGAAGAGCGAAGGCGATCGAGAGTTGGATCTGGAGGATTGAAGAAGAATGGAGAACGTTCGGCAGCTGGATCTGGAGGATCTCTGAGTAAACCTGCAACTGGAAAGTCGAAAGGCAAAACTTGGGATGCAGGAAAGATGGGATCAGAGGGATCATCAGAAGGCCGCTGGGAGGTCAAGTCGAGGAACTTGGATCTGAAAATGGCAATGCCGATCGCTAAGAGCGGTGGTCAAATGCGTGTAAATGCTACGAAGAGGGAGGATTCTCCTCCTAATTTGAAGATGGAGCTGGTGCCGGCCTCGGAAGTGAATATGCTGATTAATCCAACCTTTGTTGGGATGGATTCTTTAATGGAAGTGGAAGGTCTACAATCGGTGTTGGAGGAGAGTACAGATCTGGAAGAGATGTTTGATGTTGATGCGGCTATGCCTGGTCGGATTGGTGTGATGAAGATTGTAACTAAATAGTCCTTGTTGAGCGATGATCCTTTGATCGGAGCTGACTGCGTGATGGAGGTTAGTACTAACTTGAATGAGCAGAACATTGGTGTTATGGACATAGCTGGTAGCAATGGAAATAGTCCTGTTCTGGTGAGTGAATCAACTGTGGTTGAGATGATAGGGGTGAATGAAGTAGAGACTGGTTCTGCTGGATTGAACAATCTGCGAAATAGCTCTCTAAGTGATTGTGGGAATGCTGCTTCAGTTAGTAGCTCGCTGAATTTGGAGAATGTGAAAGGAAAGGCTCCGGTACAATTTGAGAATAGAGTTCCTCTATTCTCTGGTGGAGTGAGCAACGCTTGGAGGAAGCCTGAGCACATTCCGATCCAACATCCAGAGGAGATAAATGTGCTATCGAATGATGGGATTTCTATTGATCTCAACATGGAGGTTGTTAAGGCGAATGTGGCAAAATTGGAAAGAGCTGTTGTAGGGAAAATTCTGGGCAGGAGAGCTTCGTATTTCCTCTTGAAGTCAGAAATCCAGCGTCAGTGGGGGCGTTTTGGGGAATTTTAGCTAACAACTCTAGGACATGACTGTTTTGTTTGTGTTTTTGGATCGATCAAAGCCAGGAATGCAGTGTTGTGCTGTGGTCCTTGGTTTATCGGAGGTAATATTATTGGGCTGGATAGATGGATGCCGAGCTTCTCCCCGGAGTCGATGGAAGGATTATCCTCTCCGATCTGGATTCGTCTTCCAAATCTTCCTCTCCAGTATTGGGATGATTGTAATATCGCCAGAGTTGCCTCAAAGATTAGCGTGCCTCTGTGGAACGATGCACAGACGGGGAATTGGGGTAGAAGAGAATACGCCCGGGTGTGTGTTCGTATGAATATGGCAAGAAACTTGAACCTGGGATTTGGGTTAATGGCATGAATGGGAGGTTCTACCAAAAGGTAGAATATGAAGGCATTGGGCTATTGTGTTATGGATGTGGGAAAGTGGGGAATTGGAGGGAGTTTTGTCCATCTAGAGCTGGCGGACAAGGGGAGGATGTGGTCAAAAGAGCAGGGGAACAACCAAAGCAAGTTGGTACGGGTGAATGTAGTTCTGCCCAAAATTTGAGTAGTGGTGGGAGAGTGGAACCTTTACAACCCAAGAAGAATGCTTTACATGTTGTTAAAGTAGAGGGTGGAAGCAAAGGCAAAATGGTTGGCAGCAATGATAAAGGAGGGAGTGTAGATGCACAGGATGAACTGAACAGGGGCAAAGTTAATACGGATGAAGGATCGCAGGAAGTTGAGGATCCGTTGGGTCCTTGGATTCAAGTACCCCCAAGATGGAGGAGAAACAAATGATCACAAGCCAGGAACAAGGAGAATATGGGTGATAAACAGAACCTAAATTTTCCTAAGCAAGTGGACTTGAACAAGGTTCAAGTGCCTGATAGTATGTTGAAGCCCACTCAGAAACAGAACAGGATGGGTTTTAAGCAGCGGTTGCCATTCACGGTTGGAATAAGAATGCCTAACAGAGCCAATGCTCCGAAGGAGCTTAACCAATTGGGACTGGAGGTTCCCAGGAAAAAAAAAAGGAGATGATGGAAGCTACTAGCTCAGTTTTGGTGGAGGATCTAGGCGGCGGGGACGCTTCCCATTTTGTTGCTTAATGTCTTCCATCATTATTTGGAATTGCAGGGGTGCTCGGAAGAAACAAATTGGGCATTACTTGCGGAGCCTTATGGGGAACAATGAGGTTTGTTTTATTGGATTAGTTGAAACCATGGTTGAGAACTTTGGTCGGAAGGATGTTAATAGGTTGGTTGGTGGAGATTGGGATTATCTTCATTGTCCAGCTGTTGGTAATTCAGGTGGATTGCTTTCCCTGTGGAAGAAGGATGTTATGAAATTTGAGATCATGGCTACTGATGAGAAAGTGTTGATTGGTAAGGTGATGTTACCTAACCTACAGGAATGGATTGTGGCAGTGGTGTATGCCAAGAAGGACTACCATGCGCGTCGTAGTCTTTGGAATGTGGTTGGCAACTTTATTAATGAGAACCTCCCAGTGATTGTGGGAGGGGAATTTAACTGTTGCTTGGATCAGAGTGAAAAGAAGGGTGGACATAGATACAAGTACACTGTGGGAGCTAAAGAGATGTCTGATTTTCTAGTTGATAATGACCTGCATGATCTGGGATTTTTGGGGCTGAGATACACCTGGTCTAATAATAAGACTGGGAATAACAAAATCTGGGTCAGGCTTGATAGAATCTTGATGAATTCGGAGGGTCTTCGACTTGCTCCTCTGGCTACTGTTAAGCATCTAATTAGACTGGCATCTGACCACTGTCCGTTGCTTCTTTGTTTAGCTCCTACATTGCAGAAACCTGAAGGTAGATGGCTCAGATTTGAAGACATTTGGATGACATTTTCGGTTACTTGGAAGATTGTGTGGAAGAATTGGACAAAGCAAGATTATGGGCATCCTGCGGATGTATTGAACAGGAAATGTCACAGAACTTTGAGGGCTCTATTTTTTTGGAGCCGTAACCGGTTGAAGGAATTGGGAGAGCTCAAGAATTTGCTTGAGGCACGCATGGAGGAGCTTCAGGTTATTGAAAGGAGTGCAAGGGGGCTCACTGAAGAACAGGAACAGGAGATGAGGAGGAAGGCAGTTGAATTGAAATCTACTTTGGCGCCTATTGCTACTTGGTGGAGACAGCGGGCCAAAACTAGGTGGATTGAGGAAGGTGATGCTAATTCACATTTCTTCCATGCTACAACATCAGCGCGTAGGTGTGGCAACAGGATTGGGGAAGTTCTGAATTCAAATGGGGAACGTGTTGCTGAACCGAAAGCTATTCTAGAAGAATTTATGAACTTCTTTATGAGCAAATGGAGAGACAGACAAGTTTGTATGGATCATTGGCCGGATTTTTAAAACAATGACAAAGTTCCTAATTTTATGATTGAAGGCTTGGAGGTTGCCATCACAGAGCAAGAGATCCAGAAAGCTGTATTCTATATGGAGAAGAATAGAGCACCGAGAGTTGATGGTATTACGTATTCTTTCTTAAAATTCTATTGGGAAGTTATTAAAAATGATGTATTTCATGCTATTTTACATTTATTTAACTCTAACTCCATGAGTGAAAGCTGGAAGGACACTATGGTGATTTTAATTCCTAAGATGGATAATGCTGATTTGCCATCCAAGTATAGGCCTATAAGCCTATGCCAATCTTTTTTACAAGATTGTTGCCAAGATCTTGATCAACCGGATGAAGCCAGTGCTGGAGAAGATTGTTAGTGAAGAGCAGGGGGCTTTTGTACCAGATAGATCCATCTCTAGCCACGGGTTGGATGCTCAAGAAGTTATGTGCAAATTTTAGAACTCTCTTCAGAAAGCTGGAATGATGGAACTCAAGGTGGATATGGAGCAGTATACGATTGTATGTCATGGGAGACTTTGCAAGCTGTGATGAAGTGTATAGGGTTTTCGGAGAGATTCACTCAGTGGGTGATGCAATGTGTTGTCAATCCCAGGTTTTCCCTTATTATGAATGGGAATAGAACTCCATGGATCTATGCTAGGAGTGGACTAAGAAAGGGGTGCCCCTTATCGCCGTATTTATTCATATTATGCTCTGAGCTTCTGACGAAAGCTTTGAGGCAGAGGGGAGGACATCTTGGGATCCAGGTGACCAAGAATGCTGAGAAGATTTTTCATCTGCTTTATGCAGATGACATCTTAGCATTTGCAGAGGCTTGCTGGGGCAGCGCCAATCAGATTATGAATATCTTGAATGATTATTGCTCGTGGACTGAACAAAAAATAAACTGTGGGAAGTCTGCTATATTGTTCAATAGGAGATGTCAGAGCTGGAAGAAAAGAATGATTTCTAAGTTGATGGGGTTTCATAAAGTGAATTCATTGGAGTACCTTGGATTGCCCCTGGTTATGAGGAGATTAGTTGCAAACGGCTTTGCGAAAGTCTTGAAGATTGCTCATGAGAAAACCAACCTGTGGGGGAAGAAGCACCTGTCGATGGCAGGGAGAGCTCTCCTTATTAGAACATCGCTGTTAGCTGTCCCTATGTACTTAATGACTCATACTACGGTTCCTATGGGGGTTCTCAGCAAGGTGGAAAGAATGTGTAGGAGGTTCTTATGGCAAAAGGATGTCAATAGCAGACGGATGCATTATGTTGCATGGAATGAGCTGTGTCAACCTAGGGAGCATGGGGGACTTGGATTTCACTGTCTTGCTTTATGGCAGAGTTCCCTGAGAGCACGTTTGGCGTGGGAGGTTCTGCAAAATGACAATTCTCTATTGAGAAAGGTTGTCTTACCAAAATATGGGGCTAATATTTGGTGTTACAAGAAGGGTAGAAATGTGTCTATATCCTGGAAGGTGATTCTTGATGGTGCTACGACCCTTCGTCCCATTCTCAGGTGGAAAATTGGAGATGGCCACCAGGTGGATGTGCTGAATGATGAGTGGATCTTGGATAGGAACATTTCTCGGTGGCCTACCTTTGTGAATGTGGCTGAGCTTGAGGATGCTAATGTAAGTAAATTGTTAGACAGTTCTTTACAGTGGAATAGGGATATGGTGGAGAATTGCTTTGGGAAAGTCATGGGACAACGTATCATGGAGATTAATACGAATAATGAGAATGGATGTGATTGTCCTGTACTCCTCTATTCACGGGTTGGGAAGTTTTTGGCTGCAATGGCTTATTGTGAGAAGATTGATATGGAGGCTTACCAATTTCATTGGTTACATAGACTGAAGCTGCATCATAAGGAAAATTTTTTCTGGTGGAGATTGCTGAGAAATGCCATTCCAACGGCGAAGTGGTTGTTTTGTAGGGGACTTGCTGAATCCCCACTGTGCTCGTGGGGATGTAATGAGGAGGAGACTATTGACCACTGCACTACGAGGTGTGTTAAACTGAAACAGGTTTTCTGCACTCTTGAGAAATGGGGATTTCGTATGCCAGTGGTTAATTCTTTATTGGAGTTAATGAGGGAGATCTTTAACACGATTGATAAGAATCTGTGTATGGGCAGATTGTACTGCTATGTTGTTTATCAACTATGGCGTGCAAGAAATTACTTGAAGCATACCAGAACTCGTTGATCTCCTGCTATGATTGCTACCACGGTGTTGTCGCTACTACCGAGGACGTATAGTTCGCCTATTCTGGAGCAATGGGTACCAACCAGCCCTTGGGGTTGCCTTCCCATAAACTTTGGTGCCCTCCCCCTCCAGGGTGGTTGAAATTCAATGTGGACGCTTCCTTGAGACCTTCTAATCATGTTGGTTTGGGTATTATTGACCGAAATCATGTTGGTGCAGTTATTTTTGTTGCTGGAAGGTGCTGTGAACATTGTGATGCAATGTATGCAGAGATTATGGCGGCTTAAGCTATTGTTGGAGGGATGGATGCTTGAGCTTGAAGGAATCATCATAGAGGGAGACTGCACTAATGCCATTAGATGGATGCATAATTTGGATGATCGTCAGAATAAAGTCCATTACTACATTGATGGACCGGATCTTTCTTTCTTAATGGAGTTTAAATAGGTACTTTTTCAGTTTATACCCAGACAAAGTAACCGGCCGGCTGACTTCTGTGCTCGGCTTGCTCTTGATGGTAGTTTTCTTTTCCATGATGTAAATGATAGAGAATTCCCCTCGACTCAGTTGTCTTTGTTGAGGGAGGATAGTGATAGGGTATAGAGAATTTTTCCTTTGATTGTTAATTGTAACTAGTTTTCGTTTATTATTAATGCAAATGCAGATATTCAGCTCTTGCTCTCCCCCTCTCTCTCTCTCTCTCTCAATCTCTCTCTCTATCTCTTTCTCTATCTCCCTCTCTCTCTCACTCTCTCTCTCCCTCTCTCTCTCTCTCTCACTCTCTCTCTCACTCTCTCTCCCTCTCTCTTTTGCTCTTTCTATCTCTCTCTTGCTCTCTTTCTCTCTCTCTTTCTCTCCCTCTCTCTTTCCCTCTCACTCACTCTCTCTCTCTCGCTCTCTCTCTCTCTCTCTCTCTCTCTCTCGCTTGCTCTCTCTCTCTCTTGCTCTCCCTCTCTCTCTTGCTCTCTCTTTCTTTCTCTCTCTCTCCCTCTCTCTCTTGCTCTCCATCTCTCTCTTTTTCTCTCACCATCTCTCTAGCCCTCTCTCTCTCTCTTGTTGTCTCTTGCCTTCTCTCTCTCTTGCTCTCTCTCTCTCTCCTTCTCTCCCTCTCTCTCTCTCCCCCTCTCTCTAGCAATCTCTCTCTTATTCTCTCTTGCTTTCTCTCTCTCTCTATGTCTCTCTCTCTCTCTTGCTCTCTCTTGCTTTCCCTCTCTCTGTTTCTTGCTCTCTCTCTCTCTCTCTCTCTCTCTCTCACTCTCTTCTTGCTCTCTTTATCTATCTTTCCCTCTCTCTAGCCTTCTCTCTCTCTTATTGTAACTTGCTCTCGCTTTCTCTCTCGTTCTCCCTCTTCCTCTCTCTCTCTACCTCTCTCTCTTGCCCTTTCTCTCCTTCTTGCTCTCTTTCTCTTTCTTTCTCTCTCTCTCCCTCCCTCTCTCTCGCTCCCTCTCTCTATCTCTCTCTCCCTCTCTCTCTCTCTTCTTTCTCTCTCCCTCTCTCTCTCTTCTTTCTCTCTCCCTCTCTCTCTCCCTCTCTCTCTCTCTCTCTCTTTATCTCTCTCTCTCTCATTCTCCCTCTCTCTCTCCCTCTCTCTCTCTCTCAATCTCTCTCTCTCTCTCTCTGATTCATAAATTCAAGGTGTCCAAGGCTGCTAGGGGTTTCTTTGCCTTGAAAGTGGACATGGAACAAGCATACGACAAGATGAGCTGAGGACATTGGAGATTGTGTTAAGTCGTATGGGTGTTCCCTCGAGGTTCTGTGCGTGGGTGCTTAGCTGTGTGATGTGTTTGAAGTTCTCTATTCTCTTCAATGGAAAACTTTCGAATTTGATCACTATTGAGTGTGGTTTTCGGCAGGGGTGCCCGCTCTTACCCTACCTGTTTATCCCATGCTCCGAGCTGTTGCCTGCCCATTTCAAGCAGAATTTTAGGGAGATGGGGGTTCCCATTTGTTTGGGGGGGACCTCCTGTCTCCCACTTCCTTTATGCTGAAAATGTTCTCTATTTTGCAAGTGCATCCTTGGTGAATATTCAAAAAATTGTTTCCATCCTGATTGATTATTATTCGTGGACGGGACAAAGGGTCAACCAGATGAAATCGACGGTCTTATTCAGCAAATGGACCCCTACGATGGCTAAATCCCGATTGGCTAAGCTCCTTGGCTGCTGCAAAGTTAATGAGTTGGAATACCTGGCGCTTAAACTTACTATGAGAAGACTCACTAGACTGGATTTTGCACCGCTGGTCTAGAGAGTGCGGGACCATACGCTAAGCTGGGGAATCATGTATATCTCTATGGCTGGGCTGGTGACATTGATTAACTCGGTTTTGTTGACGTCCTCTATTTTTCTGATGACTCATACTATCATCCCTAAGGCAGTTCTTAATGACATTGAAAAGCTTTGTCGGAACTTTTTTTGGGACAAGGACTCTGACCACAGGGGCTTGCACTATGTCTCTTGGGATGATGTGGCTCGGCCAACATGTCAAGGCGGACTCGGTTTCCATGCCAGTGCCAAGTGGATCTGGGCACTCCGGGCACGCATTGCCTAGAATGCCATTGGGAATCTGACGTGGCTGATCCAAAGTTGTCTAAGCCACAAGTACAATGATGATTTGGGGGCTTCTGGATCCCTGAGAGGTCTCTCGAATTGTTGGAAGGTGATATGTGACGGAGCTAGATGCTTGAGCTATTTGATTCGCTGGAGGATCAGGAACGGTCAAAATATTGATGTGCTGAATGATATTTGGTTGTGGGATAGAGCCTTTTCCTATTGGCCCATGTAAAAGTGGAGTGGACTTGCTTTCCTAGTTAGCAGGCATCACAAAGGTGGTCTTTTAAAAACTTGAGTTTGGGGACACCTCTAACTAGGTCTTTTTGGATCACTTTCCTAAGGATTTTCATACTTGCATAACATAATCTTTAGTGCCATAACCATGAATTATCAACAATAATTTTAAGCAAAATGATGCAGCACATTCTATGTTATTTAAATCAAGCATGTACACATTGTTGATCCTCTTTCCTTGCAAAATAGTGTTGTTACTTAAACTTACAATATATGAATTTGCAAAGAATTGTACGATGAAGCCCTTGTCACAGAGTTGATTGATGCTGAGCAGGTTGTACTTTAATCCATCTACAAGCAAAACATTTTCAATCATAAGGTTCTTGGAATTACCAATTATACCTGATCCTACCATCTTCATGGTGGTATCGTCTCCAAGAGTAACCTTGCCTCCAGTCCTAGACTCCAACAAAACAAATTGATTGGCATCACCAGTCATATGTCGAGAGCATCCGCTGTCCAGGTTCCACATACTCTCATGAGGCTTTTTGTGAGAGCCCACCAACAAAATCATCAAATGTTAGATATAGGAACCCAAACAGGTTTGAGTCTCTTCTTATGAAAAGTAGAATGCAATGCATGTGTGGTATGATGTAAATCATGCTACTTGGGTCTCCACATCTAATGTGTACTATGGTGAACAGCGCAAGTGTGTGAGATGTGTCCTAGCATGCCACATGAAAAGCATCTAACACCTGGAAAAGGATTTCTTAGATGATTTGAGTTATAATGCCTCTTCCTAGGTTTTGGCTTTTGATCAATTGTTGGTGTCATCCGATTTCTCTTAAGTGAATCCAGTTCATCTTTAATCCTCAAGTTTGTACTTTTTAATACATCATTCTCAACCCTCAAATTTTTCTCCATTTCTTTAGATTTCTTAAAATCAGATTCAAGTCAGGTTTGTGAAGTTTTTGGTGAATCATGCTCTTCAATTAATTCACAATGTTTTCTATTTAACTCATCAAATTCATCAAGTAGAGCCATATAATTTGAATCAATTGTTGAGTGATCTTTAGTCAAAATTTCATGCTCTTTTTGTATATTCAAAAATTCCAATTTCAAGCTAGCATGTGTTTTCTTAAGTTTCCTATATGATGCATGAATTTTTTCAGAAACTTTAAGGAGTTGATCGTAAGAAAGTTCACATACCTCTTTTTGATCAAGATGATCGTCTGCCATTAAGCACAAGTTTGTTGTTTCATCTTCTAGTTCAGTCTATGATGAATCAGATGCAAAATCCGCCCAAAATGCCTTTTGAAGTCTCCTTTGTCCTTTCTAAACTTTAATTTCTCCTCTCTCTTTTCCTTGCTTGTTTGTGTCTTAAGTGTAGGGCAATCAGCTTTCACGTGTTCGGGCTTCCTGCATTCATAACAAACCACATCAGAAGATCCTTTAGAATATTTATTATCCTTATCTTTTCTCCAATTTTGATGATGCTTTTGTTTCTTCCTTAGAAAGCTTTTGAATTGCCTTGGGATTAAGGCAAAGTCATCGCTTTCAGACACAGAAGAGTCAGAGTCCGATTCGTTGGCCTTCAGTGCCACTGTTTTCTCCATTCTTTTCTCATCTACATTAAGATTTCTTTGATTCACCCCTTGCTCTTAAGCAATGAGTGAGCCAAGTAAGTTATCAATCGAATATGTGTTTAAATCCTTATATTTAGTGATTGCAGTGATTTTAGCATCAAAATAAGAAGACAAACATCTCAAAATCTTATTTAATTTTTCATAATTTGAAAGTTCTCTTCCTAAGGCATGCAAAGAAGTTTCAATTTGAGTAAACCTTGTATATATTTCAGAAACAGATTTAGAAGGTTTCATACGAAAGATTTCGTAATCATGCAAGAGAATATTCAAACAAGATTGTTTCACTTCATTGTCTCCCTCTCTCTCTCTCTTGCTCTCCCTTGCTCTCCATCTCTCTCCCTCTCTCTCTTGCTCTCTCTATCTTTCTCTCTCCTCTCTCTCCATCTCTCTCTCTTCTTGCTCTTTCTCTATCTCTCTCTCTCTTCTTGCTCTCTCTCTCTATCCCTTTCTCTCCCTCTGTCCCTCTCTCTCTTCTCTCTCTCTCTCTCTCTCTCTCTCTCTCTTGTTCTCTTCTCTCTTGCTATCTCTCTCTTCTTATCTCTTGCCCTCTCTTTCTTGCTCTCCCTCTCTCTCTTTCTCTCTCTCTCTCACTCTCTCTCTCTCTTTCTTTCTCTCTCACCCTCTCTCTAGCCCTCTCTCTCTCTCTTGTTCTTTCATCGTCTCTCACTCTCTCACTCTCCCTCTCCCTCTCTCTCCCTCTCTCTCTCTCCCTCTCACTCTCTCTCTCTTGCTCTCTTTCTCGTTCTCTCTCTCTCTCTCTGTCTCACACTCTCTCTAGCCCTCTCTCTCTTGTTCTCTCTTGCTCTCTCTCTCCCACTCAGTCTCCCTCTCCCTCTCTCACCCTTTCACTCTCTCTCTCTTGCTCTCTCTCTCTCTTATTCTCTTTCTCGTTCTCTCTCTCTCTTGCTCTCTTTTGCTCTCCCTCTCTCTAGCCCTCTCTCTCTCTTATTCTCTCTCTAGATCTCTCGCTCTATCGCTCTCGCTTGCCCTCTCTCTCTCTCCCTTCCTCCCTCTCTCTCTCTCTCTCTTGTTCTCGCTCTCTCTCTCTCTCCCTCTCTATGTCTCCCTCTCTATCTTTCCCTCTCTCTCTCTCTCTTCCTGCTCTCTCTCTCCCTCTCACCCTCTCTCTAGCCCTCTCTCTCTCTTATTCTAACTTGCTCTTGCTTTCTCTCTCTCTCTCTCGCTCACCCTTGCTCTCCCTCTCTCTCTATCTTGCTCTATTTCTCGTTCTCTCTCTCTTACTCTCTTTTACTCTCCCTCTATCTAGCCCTCTCTCTCTCTTATTCTCTATCTCTCTCTAGCTCTCTCTCTTACTCTATCTTGCTCTCCCTCTCTCTCTTGCTTGCTCTCTCTCACTCTCTCTCTCTCAATCTCTCTCTCTCTCACCCTCTCTCTAGCCCTCTCTCTCTCTCTCTAATTCTAACTTGCTCTTGCTTTCTCTCTCGCTCTCACTCTCTCTCTCTCTCTCTTGCTCTCCCTTGCTCTCCCTCTCTCTCTTGCTCTCCCTTGCTCTCCCTCTCTCTCTCCCCCTCTCTCTCTCTTTCTAGCTCCCTCTCTCTCTCACAATCCCTCTCTCTCTCTCTCTCTCTCTCTCTCTCTCTCTCTCTCTCTCTCCTTCTCCCTCTCTTTCTCTCTCTCCCCCTCTCTATCTCTCTCTCCCTTCCTCCCTCTCTCTCTCTCTCTTGTTCTCGTTCTCTCTCTCTCCCTCTCTATGTCTCCCTCTCTATCTCTCTTCTTTCTCTCTATCTGTCTCTCTCTCACCCTATCTGTAGCCCTTTCTCTCTTATTCTAACTTGCTCCCACTCTCTCTCTCTCTCTCTCTCTCTCTCGCTCGCTCGCTCTCTCTCTCTCTCTTGCTCTCCCTCTCTCTTTCTCCCTCTCTCTCTCTTGCTAGCTCTCTCTCTCTCTCCCTGTCTCTCACTCTCTTACTCTCCCTCTCTCTCTCTCTCTCCCTCTCTCTCTCTCCCTCCCTCTCTCTAGCCTTCTATCTCTCTCTCTCTCCCTCTTTCTCTCCCGCTCCTTCACTCTCTCTCTCTTGCTCTCTATTGCACAGCCTCTCTCTCCATCTCTCTTGCTTGCTCTCTCTCTCTATCTCCCTATCTCTCTCTCCCTCTCTCTCCCTCTCTTCCTCTCTTCTTGCTCTTTCTCTCTCACCCTCTCTCTTGCTCTCCCTTGCTCTCCCTCTCTCTCTCTTGCTCGCTCTCTCTCTCAATCTCTCTGTCTCTATCTCATGCTCTCTCTCACACTCTTGCTCTCTCTCTCTCTCCCTCTCTCTCTTGCACTCTCTCCATCTCCCTCTCTCTACCCCCTCTCTCTCTCTCTCTCTCTCTCTCTCTCTCTCTCTCTCGTTCTCTCGTACTCACTCAGGTCACTTCTCAATCGAATCAGTGTATTATTGGGACCTTGAGAAGGTCAAGTAAATTTCTTTGGGACATAGCTGTGGTTTATGCTGATAACGACTGGTATGTCCGAAGACAACTTTGGGAGGACATCTCCAGCCACCATACGACTGGCTTGCCTCTTGTGGTTGGGGGCGATTTCAACTGTATATTGGCATAAGGAGAGAAGAAGGGTGGAAGGCCATTTTCTTACTCTCAATCGGCTAGTGAGATGGGGGATTTCATGGTTGCAAATGACTTGGTTGATCCTGGCTTCTCCGGCCATGCATTCACCTGGACAGATAATAAAATGCACGGAGTCGTATCTACTCTCAGTTGGACAGGTTTTTGGTTAACTCGTCCATTCTTGACGATTATCAGGGATTAAAGGTTAAGAACCTCACTAGGCTGGCTTTGGATCACTGCCCCATCCTTTGCTCAATCCAGGAGGGAGGAAGGAAGACCTATTCGCATTGGATCAAGTTTGAGGATGTTTGGACGACTTTTCCTAGAGCCTGGCAACTTGTGCAGGATAAATGGAAGGTGCAAGATACAGGAACTTAAGCATCCAAGCTGCAGAAAAAATGTCAAAGATCCATGAAGGCTCTATTCTTTTGGAGCAAAAACAAAATAAAAAGGCTAAATTAGTTAAAGGAGGAGTTAGATGGGGAAATTAGAATTCTGCAGGAACTTGAATGCTCGCCTGCTGGGCTCTCTAAGGCTCAAACCGAATCTTTGAGGTATAAGGTGCAGCTGTTGAAATCCACCTTGGCTAGAATTATGACATGGTGGAGTCAGCGAGCTAAGGTGCGTTGGATTGAGGAAGGGGATGGGAATACCCGTTTCTTTCGCACTATGGCATCGGCCAGGCTGCGGTCCAATTTCATTGAGCAACTGAATTACCCGAACGGGCAGCCGGCTACGAAGCAAACAGAAATTCTGAGACTGGTCTACGGTTTCTTTGCGCAGAAATGGAACGAAAACCCAATTACCGAAGCTGGATGGCCCTCATTGAATTCTCAGCTAGCTTGCAAAGATCGGTTTGCTGGGCTGTTGGTTGGGGAGGTAACCCATGATGAAATTTGGCTTGCGGTCAGGTCTTTGGGGTCGAACCGTGCACTAGGAAGGATGGTGTAATGGCTTCTTTCTTCAAGGCGTTTTGGGACATTATCGGCGAACAAGTGAACCTGGCATGTCTGGAGTTCTTCTCAATAGGGCAGATGGAGCCGATGTGGAAGGAGACGGTGGTGGTTCTCTTGCCTAAAACTAATAATTTGAATCACCCATCCAATTTCAGGCCGATTAGTTTGTGATAAATAATCTACAAAATTGTTGTCAAGGTCCTAGTCAACCGCATCAAAGGCATTTTACCCACCGGCATTTCTGAGGAACAGGCAGCGTTGGTGCATGGGATGTCGATCTCCGACCACTATTTGCTGGGGCAGGAGATTATGAACAAGTTCAAGGTCTGCAAATCTTCTAAGGGATGGATGGCTATGAAAGCAGATATGGAACAAGCCTATGACAAAATGAGCTGGAGAACTCTGGAATTGGTACTGTTGAAGATGGGCTTCCCTCAAAGGTTTCAATTGTTGGTGCTAAGTTATGTGTTAGCGCCTCGCTTTACTATCCTGGTGAATGGTATGCTCACGGAAGAGATTACAGCTGGTTGTGGATTCCGACAAGGCTGCCCGCTATCTCCTCACCTTTTCATTCTGTGTTCGGAGCTTCTGTCAATGCATTTTTGACAAAACTACCAAGAGCTTGGAGTGCAGATCGGGGGGGGGGGGGGCCTCTTGTGCCCCACCTTCTTAAGGCTAATGATGCTTTATTTTTTGCAGGTGCCACCATCCCCAACGTAAGGAAGTTTTTGACCATTCTTGAGGACTATTGCAGGTGGACGGGGCAGCGGATCAACAAAAATAAATTGGCAATCCTGTTCAGCAGACTTGTGCCCTCTTCTTGTAAACATCGCCTCGCTAGGCTTGCTGGTTGCCGCAAGGTTGATGAAATGGAATATCTTGGGTTGAAATTGGTGATGCGAAGATTGACGAAGGCAGACTTTGGCCCCCTCCTGCAGAGATTGCATAGACACACGCTAGCATGGGGGATGCAGCATCTATTGTTAGCGGGAAGAATTACATTGATAAACTCAGTATTACTCCCGTTATCGGTATTCGCGGTGACCCATACGCTTGTTCCCCGGGGCGTTCTTGCTAAGGTGGAAAGAATATGTAGTCGATTCTTGTGGGACAGAGACTCAAAACACAAAAGCCTGCACTATGCTGCTTGGGGAAGCCTCACCCGGCTGAGGCACCTGGGCGGTCTCGGCTTCCATGCCAGCCGCAACTAGGATGGTCCATTGCGGGCCAGAATTGCTTAGGATTTCTTAGTTAAGCCCCAGAATTTATTTCAAAGGTGTATGAGGCATAAGTACGGGGCATGGCCTTGGCAGCAGGACCATAAATCAGGAGACTCTAGTGGATGGAAGATTATTTGCAATGGGTCTAACAGTTTGATTAACTGCGTTCATTGGAAGGTGTGTAATGGTGTTGATGTTGATGTAGTTAATCACGTGTGGATCTTGGATATTGTTATTTCGTCTTAGCCCACATTCTGCAATATCGAGAGCATTGATTGTTGTTCAGTGGGGGACTTCATCACGCCTGAGTTGAGTTGGAATCGGGCGAAGCTTGTGCAATGTTTTGGAGAACCCCTTTCCGACAGGATTAGCAAGGTAAAAATCTGGTCGGATATTGACGCAGATACGCTTGAATTAATCAAGTGCCCATTGGGTTCATCGGTTTCAGCCATCTGCTATAATTCATTGTTCCAAGGGGAAGAGGACCCGATGTGCGGAATCTTGAAGACGGGTCTGAGACCCCTTGAGCATGTGTTTTGGTGGAGAGTCTACAAGGATTTGATCCCAACCCATACCTGGCTTCACCAACGTGGCCTTGGAGTTGAGGTGCAGTGCCCGATCGACTGCAATCAGCTTGAAGATCTGGATCACATAACAACCCAGTGCCAACAACTCAGAAACTTACTTCAGCGTTTGGGAGAATGGGGGTTTCTTACTCCCAGGTTTTCATCCCTTGATGAGCTTATGATGGCGATGAAGAATGGAACGAGGGCCAAAGCTCGTTGACCTTTGCTGTACTATGTGGTGGTTTACTATAGCTGGGAAAATCGGAATGCGATCCGTCACGACAAGGCCGCGACCCCCACCATTATGTTGGCCGCAAGGTTTCTGGGATCTACCACGCAATGTCTCTTTTCTCGTAACATGGAGCAACGGTTCACCTGTTAACCCTTTGGATTATTACATTTTTCTTCTTGGTGTCCCCCCCTACAGATTGGTTGGAAATTAATGTTGATTGTGCTCTGCGTAGGAACAACGTCGGTCGGATTGGAATTATCATCGGGATGGCTATAGCAAGCTTGTGGCGGCGGCTGGCTGGAGTATTACACATTGGGACAACACTCAAGTGGATGTTATGGCTGTTTACTACATTGAGAAGCTTCTCCTTGATTGGATGTATGAAGCTGATGGGGTTATAGTTGAGGGGGACAATGTGAGTGTGATGGAGTTCATGCACAAGTGCAAGCAACAAGAACAATGGAAGCTCTGACCTGAGGACGGTGATAAGCTAAACTAGTTAAAGGCTTTCCATAAGGTTTTATTCGTTCACACTTATAGGGAGTACAACAAGGCGGCACATTTTTGCACTCAAAGAGCGATTGAGGATAGTTTTGTTTGGGACATTGGAGATAGGCATAATACATGTATTCCTCAAGAGTTTTTGTTTATCCTTGAGGATGATAGTTGTGGTTTTGCCCCAGGTTAGGGGTTTTTTTTATCTTTATTGGTTTTGTAAGGGATTTTAGATGAATGCAAAACAGAGCCCTGCATTGGGCACCCATACCCATACCCACCCATGTACCCACCCATACCCAATGGATATGGGTGGGTATGGGTATGCTCATAGACTTATGGGTGGGTATGGGTGGGTACTCAATATGGTGGATAAGCCTACTATATTAAAAAAGAGTGAAAATTGAAAAATGCATAAACATTATTTTAAAAGTGAAAATGGCATACAGACTATTCCAAAAGAATTAATGGGCTTGCACATGAAGATATTATGATATATTCTCGATTAGTGTGAGATATGTACTTTTGTATCTTAAAAAAGAGGTCTGTACTTTTATATCTTAATATTTTAGTATTAACTTCATGCAAGAAGGAGTGCACCACGAATGAAGAATTGAAGATGGCATTGCCTACTCAAGAGGCGATCGAGCGCGAGCTCAAGAGCAACAAAGACGATGCCGACGAATTTTATATCACTGATAATGTCACAGGGACATCGAATGTTTGGACCAGATTTGGCATCGTCTGCAACCGCAGTGGTGCCACTTCCATCTTACTCGAGCTAGCAGCATGCAAGGCCTGCAAGAAAACGTTTATGCACAAGAAGACCACCGAAACCAAGATGATGGGTTTGCACAAATGCGTCGTGCAACAATCTGATGTCGGAGCCGCCAAATAGTTCTTTAAGAAGCAAAGCATGGGTATGGGTGGGTACATCATCCTGAAAAATATTATGAGTGGGGGTGGGTGGGCGAAGCCAGCTCGCACGGAGCGTGGGTACCCAATGGGTACTCGACCAGGACCCTATGTAGGGCTCTGATGCAAAAGCAAAAGTTCAACTCACCCTATCTCTCTCTCGCTCTCTCCCTCACCCTCTCTCTCACCCTCTCTCTAGCATGCTCTCTCTTAATCTCTTTTGCTCTCCCACTCTCTCTCTCTCTCTCCCTCTCTTCTCCCTTTCTCACCCTCCCTCTCTCTCTCTCTTCTTGCTCTCTCACTATCTCTCTCTCTCACCCTCTCTCTAGCCCTCTCTCTCTCTCTTATTCTCTCTTGCTCTCTCTCTCTCTCTCTCTCTCTCTCTCTCTCTCTCTCTCTCTCTCTTTCTCACCCTCTATCACCATCTCTCTCTCTCTTGCTCTCTCTTCCTCTCTACTCTCTCTCTGTCAATCTCTCTCTCTCTCTCTCTTCTTGTTATCTCTTCTCTCTCTCTCTCTCCCTCCCTCCCTCTCTCTTTTGCTCTCTATTACTTTCCCTATCTCTCTCTCTCTCTCTCTCTCTCTCTCTCTCTCTTTCTCTCTCTCTTACACTCTCTCTAGCCCTCTCTCTCTCTCTCTCTTATTCTCTCTTTCTCTCTCTCTCTCTTGCTCTATTTCTCTCTCGCTCTCTCTCTCTCTTGCTCTCTCTTACTCTCCCCCTCTCTCTCCCTCTCTCTCTATTGCTCTCTCTCTCTCTCTCTCTCTCTCTCTCTCTCTCTCTCTCTCTCTCTCTCTCTCTTTCTCTCTCTCTCGCTCTCTCTCAATCTCTCTCTCTCCCTCTCGCTCTCTCTCTCTCTCCCTCTGTCTCCCTCTCTCTATCTCTCCCTCTTTCTTTCTTTCTATCTATCTATCTTTCTATCTCTCTTCTTGCTCTCTCTCTCTCACCCTCTCTCTCTTGTTCTCTCTCTCTTTCTCTCTCTCTCTCTCTATGTCTCACTCTTGCTCTCTCTGTCTCTCTCTCCCTCCCTCTCTCTCTCTCTCTCTCTCTCTCTCTCTCTCTCTCGCACCCTCTCTGTTCTCTCTCTCTCCCTCTTGAGTGCGTCATTTGTTCCCAATTGTTTCTTTCTCTCTCTAGGCGATTGTTGTGAGAGAATCTCTATGTATGGCGGGAGGTGACCGAAGGCAGGGGAGGTGGTGACGGAAATACTGGAGGCGACGAGCGATGACGATCGGGAGTGGAATTTGGAGGTTCAAAGAAGCAAGGAGAGCGATCTCCTGGGAAGATCGTGGGGAATAATACTAAGGGAAAAAATCGAGATGGAGTAAAACCTGGATCGGAGGGAGCTGTTGAAGGCCGTTGGGAGGCTAAGCCTCGCAATCTGGATTTGAAGTTGCAACAACTAATTGTTAAGGTTGGTGGCGGTCAAATGCGGGATGTTACAAACAAGATGGATGGTTCTCCTCTTAGGATGAAGATAGAGCAGATGGTGAACCCAAAAATTAAGATGTCTCTTAATCCGACGTTCATCAGAAGGGATTCTTCGATGGAGGTGGAAGTGATGAAACCAGATCTGGATTTTAGGTTTTATATGGAAGAATTGTTCGATGTGAATGCAGCTATGCCGGTAAGGGATAGCATGATGGAGGCAATTTTGGAATCAGCTGAGGTGAGGAGTGCTATTCTGGAAGATGTAGCAATGGCTGGTTACAATTCTGCACCTGTTGTGGAAGTTGCTGTTGAAGATGCTGATATGAGGTATGTCAATTATGACATTGGGATGTTGGAAGGAGGTGGATCTGCTTCCAATCGTGGTGTTTTTGAGGTAGATCATGTAGGCATGATCGGAGATGAGCTAGATCTTCTAGGAAATTCAATTCCCTGGATGGCACACTAGGTGGTTGTAATAATGACGCTATTGGTTTCGCTAGCGAAAGTATGGAGAAAGGAAAAGGGCTGATGGGGAATAGAAGCTCTCTGTTCTCAAATGGAGATGGTAATGCCTGGAGCCGGCCAGAGCATATCTCGATCTGTAATCCAGAGGAGATAAATGCGATCTCTGTTGATGAGATCTAGATTGATCTTAATCTGGAAGTTATAAAATCTAATTTGTCTATGCTGGAGAGAGCGGAAGTTGGGAAGATTATGGGGAGAAGGGTGTCCTATTTCTTGCTTAAATCAGAGATCCAGCGCTAATGGGGAAGTTTGGAGATTTCCAGTTGACGACCTTGGGATTTAAATGCTTTGTTTGCGTGTTCTCTTCTATTGAAGCTAGGGATGTTGTCCTTTGCAGAGGTCCCTAGTTCATTGGCGGCAACATTGTTGGGCTGGACAGGTGGACGCCTTCCTTCTCCCCGATTTCTATGGAAGGATTATCCTCCCAGGTGTGGATTAGATTGGTTAATCTCCCGCTACAGTATTAGGACGAATGCAATATTGCTAGAATTGCGCCGAGATTTGGAGTTCCTTTATGGATTGATGCACATACTGGATATTGGGGGAGAAGAGAGTATGCCCGGGTTTGTGTATGGATGAACCTTGCCAACAAGCAGCTTGGGGGAGTGTGGGTGAATTGTATGCATGGTAGATTCTACCAAAAAATTGAATATGAGAGGATTGGGCTTCTTTGCTGAGGGTGCTGCAAAGTGGGACATCGGAGAGAGTTGTGTCCATTCAAGGAGGCTGGTCAAGGGGATAGTGGGAACAAAAGAATGGGAGAACAATTAAAATAGAAGGAGGTGGTGGAAGGGAGTAGCTCGGGAATAACAAAGGGTAGCTCAGGGAGG